CAAAAAAAAAAAAAAAGTTGAGTATTTAGAGGGTTAAAATGTTGTGGGGTTGTTAACCAATGTCATAAAACAGCATGTGTACTGTTACATGAGAAACTATCTGTTCTGTAAGCCTTCACCTGAAGTACAATAAAATATTAAAAAAAAAAAAAAAAGTGAGTTGTAGATACCACGACATATCACCTGTCTTGGTTATCTAGTTCTGCTATAACAGAAATACCACAAGTCGATGGTTTTAACAAAGAGAAATTTATTCTCTCAAATCTAGTAGCCTAGAAGTCCAAATTCAGGGCATCAGCTCCAGGAGAAAACTTTCTCTGTCTGTTGGCCCTGGAGGAAGGTCCTTATCATCAGTCTTCTCCTGGACTAGGAGCTTCTCTGTGCAGGAACCTTGGGTCCAGAGGATGTGTGCTCCTACCACTGCTTTCTTGGTGATATGAAGTCCCCATGTCTCTGCTCACTTCTCTCTTTTGTATCTCAATCTAAAACACAATCTAATCTTGTAGATTGAGTCCCACCTCATTAACATAACTACCCCTAATCCCATCTCATTAACATCATAGAGATAGGATTTACAACGCATAGGAAAATCACATCAGAGGACAAAAGGGTGGGCAGTCACACAATACTGGGAATCATGGCCTAGCCAAGTTGACAGATATTTTGTGGGGGGCACAATTCAATCCATGACATCACCCCTGAATACTTCCATATTTCTTAAGAATAAGGATATTCTTCTACCACTCCCAATATTATTGTTGTTATTGCTGTTGAACCTAAGAAAATTAATCATAATTCCATAATATCATCTCATGTACATTCAGATTATCCCACAATCTTTGTTTTTTTAATGATCCAAAACACAGTACTGTTTCATGCATTGCATTTGATTGTTATATCTTTTTAGTTTCTTTTAATCTAGAATAATCCCCTCCACCTTTAGTTTTGTTTTGTTTTATGACATTGACTGGAAGAGTTCAGACAAGTTGTAGAATGTTCCACATTCTGGATTTGTCTGCTGTTTCCTGGTTTTTAGATTCAGGTTAAGCAGTTTTGGCAAGAAAAAAGACATTAGAGGTGATACCACTTACTGCATCACATCAGGAGGCATATGCCTGATTATCCCGCTATTGGTGATGGTGGAGTGGGGTTACTTGGATAAGTGGTGACCACCGTATCTCTCCCATATAAAAGTACATTTTTCCTTTTGTAATTAGTAGGTAATCTGTGGATAGTGCTTGAGATCATGTGAATATCTTGTTCCCTAATAATCTTTTCTCATGTTCTTTTGGCACTCATTAGTGATTCTTGCCTGAATCTGTTATTACTTTGGAGATTGCAAAGGGATTATTTTCTAATTCTATCATATCTTCTTCATTATAGTCTTAGGCTGGGTTTTCTAGAGAAGCGAAACCAGTGAAGCGTATGTGTTTGTGTGTGTGTGTGTACAGAGAGAGAGAGATTTATCTCAAGAAAATGGCTCGCATGGTTGTAGAGGCTGGCAAGTACCAAGTCTGTGGGTCAGGCATCAGGCTGGAGGCTTTTTCTGACTCATGTAGATGCAGGGGCTGACAAACCAAAGATTGGCAGATCAGACAACAGGCTGCTGGCTCACTGGCTGCAGAGTCCAACGAATCCCAATATTGGCAGGCAGTACGGCAGGCCGCTGGCTCAGGACCCAAGACCTGGAGGTCAGATGGTGACAAGCTGGATGCAGGATCCAGAGCAAGCAAAAGCCAGTGAGCTTTGCCAGAACATCCATATATATTGGATGCAGGCCACACCCCTGAGGAAACTCCCGTTGCAGCTGATTGGCTGATCATATCGTGGAGGTGATTATATCATATCACAAAATGGAGGATAGCTACATCATTACATAATTGCCAAACTACATTATGATATAACTGCCAAACTATATCATTACATAACTGCCAAATACATCATCATATAACTACCAAACCACTGAGAATCATGGCCCAGCCAAGTTGACACATAACCTTAACCATCATAGTTATCCAAGAAGAACTTCCCTCCCCTCTTCATTACTGTGAATTCATATTTTATTCATTGTTTTTTCATTATCAATATTATACTTTTGGATGCACAAATGGGCCTAAATCTGGCCAGTGAGTTCCCTTTTAAGCTAGCTTCTATGTCCTTTGGACATGATGCCTGTAGTCTTTGAGTATTTCCTTGCTTTCAGGAATGAATATATATTATGTGACTAAGGGGCAGTTGTACTCTGTCCTATAAGGTCACTATGGGTCAGAATCGACTTGCTGTCAGAGGATTTTTTTTTTTTTTTAAGGCATATTTATTTTATAATAAAGTAAGTAAAGATACCTTAGAAAGCTTTCAGAATTAAATTAATCTGCTTCTGTCATCAATTTTTTGACAGTAGTTTCTCCCTTTCCTGTAGCTTCAGTGACATGTGCATAACTTGACCTATTGAAGATGATGAGCATATCAAGAGGCCAGTTTTTGGTGAGTTTCTCAAAGTTGGTCCTATTCTGATTTATGATTCAGAATAAAAAACACTCCTGACTGCGGCCCCCTGGGACCTCTGTGGTCCTAGAAATGCAGAATATTATCGATTCTTAAGATGGAAGAAAAGCTTTGGAATAGTTCTTCTTACATTTATCTCTTCTCTGTCCCTCTCTTCTCTCATTCACTTTGGAAATACAGTGGGTAGGCCTGTGTGTACTGGTGCTAATTTTCCATTATCTTCCTGAAATTTTAATTGGAAAAACCTCTATTTCTTCTCTGCTGCCCACTTTACCTCCTTTTTCTATTCCCAGCCTCTCTTTAGGCATTTAAGTACCAAAATTGCTAACGAAAACAGTTTAAGTAAATAAATAACCCATGCAGGGAAAATGCTGTTAAGTTTTAGCTACTGGGACCTTATTAAGGGCACTTGCTACAAAGTATACTGAATTGAACCCCTGTTTTATAAACTTCCAATATAACTGATTTTACTTCTGTATAGCTTTAAAGTACCTGCAAGAATTTCAGTAAACATCAGTTACGTTGTTTTTTAATTTGCTTGGAGGTTGGGAGAATAGGAAAGAGGAGTTGTGAAAGTTTTTCTTACTAAACTGACATTCTTCCATTAATTAGTAGGCTTTGGATATTGTGTGTAACCACTTGTGAATCTAACCTGTTGTCATCCAGTCGATTCCAACTCATAGTGACCCTATAGGACAGAGTAGAACTGCCCCATATGGCTTCCAAGTCTGTAAATCTTTATAGAAGCAGACTGCCACATCTTCCTCCTGGTTAGCAGCCGAGAGCTTAACCAAGTACCACCAGAGCTCTTTACTTGTGAATCTACTCAGCATATTATTATTTAGGTTGAATTTCTTCATTCTTGGCCACAGCAGTGTTATAAGAGACTCAAATACCTTGCTGAAATCTAGATGTGGTGTCTAAAGCATTGTCATAATCCACCATTCTCATATCCCTGTCAAAAGGGGAATAAAGTGTTTGGCATAGCTTATTCTTAGTGAAACCATGCTGTTTTGTAGTGAATGCCTTTTTAAAATTTTCCCTAAGTTCTCACAAACCACTTATTCAGTGATCCATTTCAGAGTTTTATAGGGCAGGTAATCAAGCTCTGATTTTCAGAATCTACCCTTCCTCCTAACCTTTTCTATCATCTGTCCTTTTTCTGCAGCTATATCTTAGCTATGCTTCTGGGTAAGGCAAAACTCTGATCAAGAGGTCATTGTATGGACCACTTTTATGGGAAAAGTATTCATGAGGATCCCTCCAAGAAAATGTCTGTATACTCCATTTTGAGAAAAACTGACTTAGGGAACTAATTTTCTGGAAGTGCCTGGCCTGTTAGCGATTTTTGCAAAAAGAAAGTCTTGTCATTGACTTGGTAAAATATAATTTTTTTTAATTAAAAAAAATGAACACAATAAAAATTACTGTACAACTGTTTCCAAAGGCCCCTGGGTGGTGCAAACGTATTGCTCTGGGCTGGTAACCAAAAGGTTGGTCGTTAGAACCTATATAGCGTCACCATGGAAGAAACAGGCCTGGCGATCTGCTTCCGTGTAGTAGATTACAGCCAAGAAAACTGTGGAGCAGTTCTACTCTGTAACACATGGGTCTCCGAAGGCACAAATCAAAAACAAAATCAATAACAAAACTCAGGTTTCCTGGGGTAGGGGGCACAGGCATCTGAGGATCTCAATTAAGGAACAGTGGCTTTGCTACTAAGGGATGTTTCCTGTAGCATCAGCAATACCTGGGTGCTTGTTAGTGATGCAGATCTTAGGCCTCTCTGCAGCTCAGCTGAGTCAGGATCTGCAGTTTAACCCTATCTCCAGGTGATTCGTATATACATTAAGATTTGAGAGCTCTGGAAATCATTTTTGTGAGACTGTCCCTCACTGCTGGTTGGGTGGTAAAACCTCATCTTATGAAGATACTAAATGGCATACATCTTAGTTATCTAGTGCTGCTGTATCAGAAATACCGCAAGTGGATGGCTTTAATGAAGAGAAATTTATTCTCTTACAGCCTAGTAGGCTGCAAGTCCAAATTCAGGGCGTCATCTCCAGGGGAAGGCTTTCTCTCTCTCTTGGCTCTGGAGGAAGGTCCTTGTCATCAGTTTTCCCCTGGACTAGGAGCTTCTCCATGCAGGAATCCCAAGTCCAAAGGACGCGCTCTGCTCCCGCCACTGCCTTCTTGGTGTTATGAGGTCCCCATGTCTCTCTGCTCGCTTTTCTCTTTTATATCTCCAAAGAATTTGGCTTAAGACACAATCTAATTTTGTAGATTGAATACTACCTCATTAACATAACTTCCACCATTCCCATCTCATTAACATCATAGAGATAGAGTTTATAACACCTAGGAAAATCACATCAGATAACAAAATGGTGGACAATCACACAGTACTGGGAATCATGGCCTAGCCAAATTGATATGCATATTTTTGGGGGACACAATTCAATCCATAACAGCACATTTAGGAAAATCCTAGGAAACCCTGGTGGCATTTTGGTTAAGTGCTACGGCTGCTAACCAAAGGATCCGCAGTTTGAATCCCGCAGGTGCTCCTTGGAAACTCTATGGGGCAGCTGTACTCTGTCCTATAGGGTCAGTATGAGTTGGAATTGACTCGACGGCAACGGGTTTTGGTTTTCTCAGAGTGGAAGGATTTTCAGATGTTTATTGTAAACTGTTGGCTCAATATAGTTGTTAGATATTGACCCTCCCGTATTGATCCTCCTGGAAAATTTAAGTAGATGTTTCCCAAAATACCAAGATTACTGTTTAAAAAAGTGAGACATTTTACTAGTCGTAGGCAATGTGTTCAAAACCTTTCCTCCCTTTTCAACTATATATTCTTTGCATTGTAATACCAGATGGTTAAATTTTTGAGGTTATGCTTCAACGTGAAAGGAAAAACTGTATGAACAAAGGCTTCAGTGGTGGCTGTGCCTCTGTTGTTTGCATCCTAACTTTGTTGGGGCTCCCTAAGCACAGGGAGCCCTGGTGGCACAGTGGCTAAAGCACTCAGCTGCTAACCGAAAGGTTGGCAGTTTGAACCCACCAGTTGCTTTGGAGACAAAGATGTAGCAGTCAGCTTCCGTAAAGATTACAGCCTAGGAAACCCTAGTGGGCAGTTCTGCTCTGTCACATGGGGTCACTATGAGTCAGAATCGACTTGATGGCAATATTTTTTTCTTTAAGCACGGTAGGATGGCTTCTTTTGATCCATGACACAGTAGGGTTGAGACTGAGGTGCTGATTTACTGTGTAACCCTGTGAGTAAATGTGCTAAATAATTTTTTTCCAGGTTTTTTCATGCCTGCCCAGCTAAACTCTAGATGCTAATAACTTACTTTAGCCCAGCATTGGCTTCAATAATGTTAATGCAACTTGATACAGATCAGATTTTCCTAACTTTCTAGATGTTTCACTTGTATCTGGGGTGATGATAAAGGAGTTTAATCCTCTTTCCCCATCTGAGACTCCCTGACATTCCCAGATATTTCTCAGGGTGGGACAGATGTGGCACTGATAGGCTAATGGATATGCACCAGTTGAAGGAAATACCAGACTGCAGATATATCATACTGGCTCACTCAGTTGTGTGGATCCAGTGGGAACTATTGGTGTGATGAGCTGACAGAGGTCAGCAGTATTGTGTAGCAAAAAGAGCACTAGATTTGGAATTAGCTAGATGTGGGTTTGAATCTCAACCTCTCCTGCTTATTAGTTTTGTGATCTTGTAGTTAGTGGTTCATTGGTAGAATTCTTGCCTTCCATGCGGGAGACCTGGGTTCAGTTCCTGGCCAATGCACCTCATATGCAGCCATCACCTGTCAGTGGAGGCTTGTGTGTTGCTGTGATACTGAACAGGTTTCAGAGGAGCTTCCAGACTAAGATGGACTAGGAAGAAAGGCCTGGTGATCTGCTTCTGAAAATCAGCCAGCGAAAACCCTGTGAATCGCATCGGTCCGATCTGCAACCCATCATGGGGGTGATGCAGGACTGCGCAGCGTTCGTTTTGTGCGTGGGATCACCATGAGTTGATGGGGTGGGAGAAGCGACTTGACGGCAGCTAACAACAACAGCAGTTATTTAATCTTTGATTTTCAAATTCCATAATTGTAAAAGTAGGGATAATTAATACTGCCTAGGGTTGTTGTGAGGTTTTAATGTGAAGTTATTAAGAGCCTAGTACAATGCCTGGTGTAGAGTAGGTGCCCAGTGAATGATAATTGCTATCCTCCCTCTTCCCCACATAAGCAGTCCAGAAACTACACACTACTATATAAATTTGCTATATTAAATAATTTTTTACTGTTTTTTTGCATGCCTGCCAACTAAACTGAGTGGGAATTTAAATAACTTCTGATGGTTTTGCGCATTAAATATATTTCCAGGTGATTCTTTGCCAGGCAAGCAGCCTCACTGTTACTGCCACTATGGACTGTGGCAGACATTGGCCTTCAAAGGCACAGTGCTTTCAACCTGGCAGATTCATCAGCTGGATTATAGCCAGCAGGGACTACATGTCCAGAAAGCTGAGATTATTCCATCCTACACAGTGGATATGCCAACATGTCAGCCACACTCAGGAAAAAGCGAGTGTATGTGTAAAGCAATAACATTAACGTGGTGAGAAGGGTTTTGGTGAATTAATCATGTAAAATGGTTGCAGTATGTGGAATTCTTTTTTTTTTTAGAGGAAGGCTGTGAAACACAATCTTTTAGTTTCAAAAAAGTATGCTTGTATAGTACTTAAAGAAAAGCATCGCCTGGAAAGACAGTTTCTCTTTACAAATTGGGAAGGGTATAGCTTTTGATGCAAGGATCTGTAGCCAAATTTAGAACTTTGCTTACTATGGGAAACTGGGAGGTATGACACCAAAACCAAACCAAAGCAAACCTGTTGCCGTCGAGTTGATTCTGACTCATAGCAACCCTATAGGACAGAGTAGAACTGCCCCATAGAGTTT